CTTCCTGAGGAGCCCAGACAGATCCTTTCCTAGTAGCTCTAACCCCTTCTTATTAGGCCCCTTCTCATTTTCCCTTCTCTGCCTTCCATACCCAGATACTCTAGAGGACAAGCTTTTTTTTTTTTTTTTTTTTTTTTTTTTGAGACAGGGTCTCGCTCTATTACCCAGGCTGGAGTGCAGTGCTGCAATCTTGGCTCATTACAAACTCTACCTCCCGGGATCAAACAATTCTCCCACCTCAGCCTCCCAAGTAGCTGGGACTACAGGCGTGCACCACCATGCTCAGCTAATTTTTATAGTTTTTTTAAGTAGATTCAGGGCTTTGCCATGTTGGCCAGGCTAGTCTCAAACTCCTGGCCTCAAGTGATCTGCCTGCGTTGGCCTCCCAAAGTGCCAGGATAGGAGTGAGCCACTGTGCCTGGCCACTATAATGAATTCTCTGTCACTGGAGATATTCAGACTGAGATCAGACAATCACTTCGGATGCTGCAGAAATGGTTGGTTGGACAAGATAATCATGAAAGACCTTTCCTAATCTGAGCTTCTGTGATTCTACACCAGCAGAAGTCACCTTTATGCCTATGGATACATGAAGTGTGACATATTAATTACTATGCATATGGAAAAACATGACATTTATTTAATTTACCTAACTTAGAGCCTCACATTCCTTAGCTGTAAAATTGGGACAAAAATACCTGTCCCATGGGGTTTTTATGCAAATTAATTTAAATCATGAAACATAATGTAAATTGCCTGCCACAGTGTCTGTCAGGTGCTCAGTAAGTGCTGGTTATCTCTGAATATTCACAGTATACCATGTGCTGTAACATATATGAAAAAAGACTTGATTGCCGCTTTGAGTAAGGTGAGTTCTTGAGCCGGCACAGAGGCTCACACCTGTATTCCCAGCACTTTGGGAGGTGGAGGCGGGAGGATTGCTTGAAGCCAGGAATTTGACACTAGCCTGGGAAACATAGGAAGATGCCACCTTTACAAAAAAAAAAAAAAATTAAAATTAGCTGGGCACGGTGATGTAGTTCCAGCTACTCAGGAGGCTGAGGCAAGAGGATCACTTGAACTCAAGAGTTTGAGGCTGTAGTGAGCTATGATTGTGCCACTGTACACTCCAGCCTGCTGACAGAGCAAGACCCTGTCTCTAAAAAGAAAAAATAAATAAACAGTTCTCCTTATTTTTGTGACTTGGCCAGCCTTCAGTAATGGAGCTCAGTGATAGCCTAGACAACCCAAACAAAATAAAGCAAACATCACTTTGAGCTGCACCTCTGAACTTACATTTGATTATTACTGATTTGTGATACTCCCTTTGCATTTTATAGGCTGTAAGCTAATAAAATTTGGGATTCCTTTCTTGGGGTCTCACCTAAAAGGCAGGAGAACTTATATTTTCATATTTGGGAGCACAAGGATTTGGGGAAATAGTATGTTCTTTTTAAATGAGTATCCCTGGTGACTGTTCCCCCAAAAATCCTTTGTCTGCTTCTCTAGGAAAGGTGCTGGAAAGGAGCCAGCACATAGGAATTAAAAAGACAACCGGCACAGAAGAGAAATATGTGCTAAAAATACTAAAACCAACAAGGATTCATCATCTGAAAGCAAAATAGGTTTTCTGTGTGCCCCTGCTTCTGGACTTGCTCACAGCCGTGATGGCTCTGTGTTATTTGGGGGTGACAGTAATTATGGAGCTGGAGTGCTTCATGGCAAAGACAGACAGAGCTCCTCGCAGAGGGATGGTTTCCATGGCAATAGCATCAGCATCTGAATGACTTCCTGTCACAACAAGTTGGTGATTTAATGAGTTCATTACTGAATTCCAAAGGAAAACCAGAGAGTGGATGAGCTACTGTTCAGCCCTCAAAGTGGCTAAATCCATAGTGGAGGAGCCATTTCTACCGGGTGCAGCATCAGAACCATTAACAGCTCAGGGCCATTACAAAGGCAGCCAGGGTGCTGCAGGGCGGGTGTGTGAAGGGAAGGGGACCCAGACTGAATATGCAGCCACGTGGTCTGGGAAGGCCTCAATGGCTGTTATTCCCGGAGTGTGAAAGAATTGTATGAGTCTCCACTAGAAGCTTTCCCTGGTTCAAACCCGATGAAATTAATATCACAGGAATTTAGCTCAGGGCTTCAGATACATACTCCCAAGTACCCCAAGTTCTTTAGAAAAGACACCAAGGAAAAGAAGCAGACCTTAAATTTTTATTGTGTACAGAGGAAAGGGAGAAAGCATTTCACCCCACTTTCTATTCTTCAGTATTATACAGAGATTGACACTTATGTGGAACCAAAAAATAATCACCCGGATACTTCAGAAATTGGAGGTGTATTTCATGTGGCGAATTGCATATAAAATTTGAGCTTAGAGGTTATGTATCACAATAAGAATGTATAATAATTGACCTTTCATACTTTGCTATCTTTGCTAATTAAAGTCTACCATATAGCTGGCAGAACAATGTAGGCTTAGTCTGATCAATTAACCAGGGACCAGTTAGGGACAGAAGTAAGAGAGTGGTCATGATTCTCCGTGAGTGTCTTCCTAATAAGAGGTGGAATGGTATTCCAGTTCTCCCACATTCCTTTCCCTATTACTTCAATAAATATTTGATCCCTCAAAGTGTTTACAAGCTAATAATGGAGACTGACTACATGCAGAAGGAAGCCTAAAACAGGAAAATAATATGCTACTGTTTACTGATGCTCCCTGGGTGCTGCCACTGAGCCACATGCTTTACATAGGTTTTCTCAGTTACCCCCCTATAACCTCATGAGATGAGTATTGCTTCCATTTTTTATGAGGAAACTGAGCCCTGGAGAGGCTGTGTCACTTGCCGGAGGTACACACAGCTAGGAAGTGCAGAGTCAGGATTCTAACTCGAATCTGACTCCTTGGTCTGTGTCTCGCCCACTCTGCCCAAAAAGAGATGCAGACTCGGGGCCACAGGCATCCTGGGGGAGAGGCCAGAGAGGAACAAGATGGAACAAGATGGACCTTGGAAGGTGAAGAGATGCCTCTTCCCCTCACTCCCTAAGCAAGGACTCCATAGCAATATGCAAGGCAGGCGGACAAGGTCTGTGCCCAGATATAGGGAACAGAGAAACCTTGAAGAAAGAGAAGTCACAGAGTACTAAAAATATGCATTTTATCAAATATTTTTCCAGATCAACCAATAAGATGGGGAATTTGACTAATTTGGCTATATATATATATATATATATATATATATATATATAATGCTTAGAATAGCATACAAGGTAAAGGGTGTACGTTTGAGTGTGTATGTGTGTGTATGTATGAACAAGTGTTGGCCATTTTCTCTTTTAATAAAAATAAGGAAAGCAATTGCCTGACTGATGTGATACTTGCAAAGAACATGTAGTTGAGTCTTATTTTTCTATATGCAGGTATACCTACTTTCCAAAACATTTGGCATATTTCCCTGGCACACCTGAGAGGTATTGGTCTATCCTTGGCTTTCTAACATTGGGGATGAGAGAAGATTGCTAGTATTTTCTAAGAGCACCTTCCTAAGACATGGTCAGTAACAGAACTTTTACCAGCCCGGTCCTCCTCATTTTTGGAGATTCCTTTAAAATATATCACCATTTCATTAAGCCATGTGTACAATTTGGATAGTAGAGTTTTTCAAATGAAAGCCAATGTCATATAAAACTAAGCAAGCTTTAGGCTGGGCACAGTGGCTCATGCCTGTAATCCCAGCACTTTGGGGAGGCCAAGGCAGGAAGATTGCTTGAACCTAGAAGTTCAAGACCAGCCTGGGCAACATAGTGAGACCGTATCTCTACAAAAAAAAATTTTTTAATTAGCTGGGTATGGTAGTGCATGCATGTGGTCCCAGCTACTTAGGAGGGTGAGGCAGGAGGAGCATCTGAGCATGGGAGGCCAGGGCTGCAATGAGCAGTGATCATGCCACTGCACTCCAGCCTGGGCAGCAGAGTGAGACCCTGTCTTAAAAAAAACCCAAGATTTTCTGGCTGGAACGTTGGTGAGCATGAAAATAAATAAATAATTTTTTAAAAAATGATTTGGAAAGGTGCGGTGGCTCACACCTGTAATCCCAGCCCTTTGGGAGGCTGAGGTGGGTGGATCACTTGAGGTCAGCAGTTCAAGACCAGCCTGGCCAGCATAGTGAAACCCCATCTCTACTAAAAATACAAAAATTAGCCAGGTGTGGTGGCACGTGCCTATAGTCCTAGCTACTCAGGAGGCTGAGGCAGGAGAATTGCTTGAATCTGGGAGGCAGAGGTTGCAGTGAGACGAGACTATGCCATTGCACTCCAGCCTGGGCAAGAAAGCGACACTCCACCTTAAAAAAAAAAAAAAAAAGATTTAATTATTGCTTTAATATGTATGGGATGATCTAGTCAGGATTTAGCATGCCACCTCTTAGGGCTACGAGATCTGTGCTATGCACACTCCATAGGTGCCACTCACCTAGACTGTGACATGAAGCACACCCTGGGGTAGTAGAGCACGGCAGCCCTCACATTTTGAATGACTCACCAGATAATCAGATATAATTTATAATCATGGAATCCCAGGGTCGGAGTGGAGCTAATGATCATGAAATCCAGCTTCCTCTGTAGGCTGTGCTCCCCAAGGTGTCCTACCCTTGCTTGGATACCTCTGGGGTTAGGGAACTCACTCCTTCTAAGAGTTGGAGGGCAGATTCACACAGACCTCCCTGGACTTCTCACTGGACTGCACTTATGATACAGGAAACATTTAGAAACTACTCATTCCTTCTTGTCCCCCAACCATTGGCTTTTTTTTTAAGCATTACCTCCTACAGGATTTGCAAATGTAGTTTCTACTTGCTGCCAGGTGTGAACGGCACACTGCTTGTGCTCTCTGGACATCCCTTCTCATTAGTACACATGTTTGGACATGAGGATCAATGAAGTGTTAATAAACTGACTGAGCCACAGCTGAAGTAGGGCTTCACTGATGTCACGAGGCAGCCAGTGACCTCCCCTCCCTGTCGCACCATGGAGGCAGAAGCAGAGCAGGCCTGCACACGCATGCATTTAAGATAAAGCACAATTGCAGTGTGCCAGGCTCCTCAGCCCCACAGGACAGAGAGGTTCTTCAGTCTGGATAGTGAAGTGGAAAATGCTTTCTTTTCTTTCTTTCTTTTTTTTTTTTTGGTTATAACTGCTGGTGCCATGATACTCCTCTTTCAGCCCGTGGTTATTTGGCACTTCCATTTCTTGCTCTTTTTCACTGTGCAAGTCACTGGATGTAAAAGGTGAGTAAGACAGGAGGCACACAGACAAATGCTGCTGAGAAGGGTAAATGCTGTCACAGATGTGTGTTCTGGGAGCCAGCGGTTTCCTAGAAGGAGCAGCGAACCTGGTGGGGAGGAAAGGACAGTCTTAGAGACCTTGGGGGAGCTTCCTGAATGCAAAGGAGGAAGAAGAAAGGAATTAGCCAGGTGAAGGCAGGGGAGGAAAAGAGAGTATCACAGTAAAGCAGGAGGCGTTGAAGCTGTTTCAGGGAAGGCAGAGAGTTAAGTCTACCTGCCTAAGCAGGTGAGGCAGGGAAGCACCCTGGAGGAGAGTTACAGTGATGAAAAGGGAGCAGAGATAGGCAGGGGCCAAGTCCTAGGAAGCTTCAAATGCCAGGTAAACAATAAGAGTGCACACATAGAAGATCAACTACATGCCAAGTTCTGTGCAAAAGTTTTACATGAATTTTTGCTTTAATTCGCCTGTACATTCTCTTGGAGCTGGGACTAGACCATTCTCTGATTCTAGATGCCTTCTAGCTAACTATCTAAAGAGCTTTATTGTGACATAAATTTACATACCATACAATTCACTCACTTAAAGTATGCAATTCAAAGGTTTCTAATATATTCAGAGTTGTGCGACTATCACCATAATCAATTGAGAAATGATTTTATCATAAATGGAAACCCTTTAGCAGTCACCCCCATTCCCTCAAAGTCCCCACCCAATCCTAGGCAATCACTAATCTATTTCCTGCACCTGTAGCTTTGCCTACACTGGACATTTCATATCAACAGGATTTTATACTATGTGGTCCTTTGTGACTGGCTTCTTCCACTTAGCATAACATTTTCAAGGTTTATCCATGTTGTAGCATGCATCAGGACTTAATTCCTTTTTATTCCAAATAATATTCCACCATATAGATAGACCACATTGTGTCCATCTGTTTGTCAGTGGATCAACATTTGGGTTGTTTCCAGTTTTTGGCTGTTATGAATAATGCTGCTTTGAACAAGTGTCCATAAGTTTTTGCATGGACATGATTTCATTTTTCTTGAGTTAAATTGTTGAGTGATATAGTAAACCATATCTTTAACTTCTTGAGGAACTGCCACACCATTTTCCAAAGCAGGTGACCACTTTATATTTCTACCAGCAGTGTATAAAGCTTCTAATTTATCCATTCCTTGCCAACACTTACTGTCTTTTTGTTTGTTTGTTTGTTTGTTTGTTTGTTTGGAGTCCGTCTGTCTCCCAGCCAGGAGTGTAGTGGCACAATCTCAGCTTACTGCAACCTCTGCCTTACAGGTTCAAGCAGTTCTCCTTCCTCAGCCTCCTGAGTAGCTGGGATTACAGGCCTGCGCCACCATGCCTGGCTAGTTATTGTATTTTTAGTAGAGACAGGGTTTCACCATGTTGGCCAGGCTGGTCTTGAACTCCTGATCGGAAGTGATCCGCCCGCCTCAGCCTCCCCAAAGCGCAGAGAGTATGGGTGCCAGCCACTATGCCTGGCCACTATCTGTCTTTTGTATTATAATCATCCTAATCGATATGAAAAGGTATCTCAGTGTAGTTTTGATTTGCATTTCCCTGATGACTAACGGCGTAGAGCATGTTTTCATGTGCTTATTGGCTATTTATATATCTTCTTTGAAAAATATCTATTTAGATCCTTTGTCTATTTTTCAATTGGGCTGTATTTTTATTATTGAGTTCTAAGAGTTCTTTATGTAGTCTAGATACGTATGTTCCTTATTTGCAAAGTTTTTTTCTATTCTGTGGGTTATCTTTTCACTTTCCCTTTTTTTTTAATTTTTTTTTCCCTTTTTTTTTTAATTTTTTTTTTTTGAGACAGAGTCTCTCTCTGTCACCTAGGCTGAAATGCAGTGGCATGATCTCCGCTCACTGCAACCTTTGTCTCCTGGGTTCAAGCGATTCTTCTGACTCTGCTTCTCAAGTAGTTGGGATTACTACACCTGGCTAATTTTTATATTTTTAGTAGAGACGGGGTTTTGTCATGTTGACAGGTTGGTTTTGAACTAGTGACCTCAGATGATCCGCCCACCTCAGCTTCCCAAAGTGCTGGCATTACAGGCATGAGCCACCACGCTCGGCCTCTTTTCTTTTTCTTGGTGGTATCCTTTGAAGCACAAAAGTTTTGGATTTTGATGAAATTCAGTTTATCTGTTTTTTCTTTCGTTGCTTGTGTTTTTGGTTTAGAGACCATATTTTTAACCAATACATTATTTGAACTTGATTCTGTGAGTTATGGAAATCAACTGAAAGACTTAAAGTTGTAGAATGACCTAAAACTTGTCATTTTTAAAAATCAAACTAATGCTTATACATGTGTGGCAGGCTAATGATGGTTCCCAAAAAAATGTTCCTGTTCTAATCCCTAGAACCTGTGAATATGACCTTATTTGGAAAAAGGCTCTTTGCAGATTTAATAAGAACCTCAAAATTAGATTATCCTGGATTATTCAGGTGGGCCCTATGTGCCACTAATAAATTCTTATAAGAAAAAGGCAGAGGGAGATTTAACACTCACAGAGAAGGCAGTGTGAAGACAGAGGCAGAGACTAGAGTGATGAAGCCACAAGCCAAGGAGTGCTGGCAGCCACCAGACACTGGAAGAGACACAGAACCCTAGAGGCTCTGGAGGGAACATGGCCCTGCTTGCATTTTGATTTCAGACTTCTGGCCTCCAGAACTGTGAAAAAGTCATTTCCTGTTGTTTTAAGCCACTAAGTTTATGGTAATTTTTTATAGAAGCCACAAGAAAATAATACCACATGATTTTTAAAAAAATCAAAGTGAAAGCGTTTTAAATGAAAAGATAAACAACATGCTGCTTTGTGTGTATGTATATAGAGAGACAGGGTCTTCCTGCGTCACCTAGGCTGGTCTTAAACTCCTGGACTCAAGAGAACCTCCTGTGTTAGCCTCCCAAAGTGCTGGGATTACAGGCATAAGCCACAGAGCCTGGCCTTTTGAAAATAAAAAATCACATTTGAACATCATCTATTTTATTTATTTTAAGTTCCGGGATACATGTGCAAGATGTGCAGATTTGTTACATAGGTAAACATGTGCCAGGGTAGTTTCCTACACATATACCTAGGTATTAAGCCTAGCATGCATTAGCTATTTATCCTGATGTTCTCTCTCTCCCCTCATCCCCACCTACAACTGGCCTCCTGTGTGTGTTATTCCCCTCCCTATGTCCATGTGTTCTCACTGTTCAGCTCCCACTTATGAGTGAGAACATGTGGTGTTTGGTTTTCTGTTCCTGTGTTAGTTTGCTGAGGATGATAGCTTTCAGCTCCATCCATGTCGCTGCAAAGGACATGATCTCATTCCTTTCTATGGCTGCATAGTAATCCTTGGTGTATATGTATCACATAGTAATTCTTGGTTATATGTAGACTTCATCCAGTCTGTCATTGATGGGCATTTGGGCTGATTCCATGTCTTTGCTATTGTGAATAGGGCTGCAATGAAAATACATGTGGACATCATCTATTGACCTTTGACTGTAAAACGTGGTGGTTTAGGCCAGACATAGTGGCTTATGCCTGTAATCCCAATGCTTTTGGAGGCTAAGCCTCAAGGATCACTTGAGTCCAGGACTTCACGACCAGCCTGGGCAACACTGCAAGACCCCATCTCTACAAAAAAATTAAAAATTCGGCTGGGTGCAGTTGCTCACACCTGTAATCCCAGCACTTTGGGAGGCCTAGGCAGGTGGATCACCTGAGGTCAGGAGTTTCAGACCAGCCTGGTCAACATGGTGAAAAACCACCTCTACTAAAAATACAAAAAAATTAGACATGGTGGTGGGTGCCTGTAATCCTAACTACTCAGGAGGCTAAGGCAGGAGAATCACTTGAACCCAGGAGGCGGAGGTTGCAGTGAGACAAGATCACGTCCCTGCACCCCAGCCTGGGTGACAGAGTGAGGCTTTGTTTCCAAAAAAAAAAAAAAAATTAATTATCCAGGTACAGTGTTGCATATACCTGTAGTCCCAGCTACTCAGGAAGCTAAGGCAGGAGGATCACTTAAGCCCTGGAGCTCAAGGTTACAGTGAGCTGTGATCATGCCACTGCACTCCAGCCTGAGCAACAGAGCTAGACCCTGTCTCTAAAAAAAAAAAAAGATGATTTATTTTACTTAGATGCCTCTGGCCACTCTGTCCCAATTTTTGTTAGTTGTTCCATTATCTTTAGCTTACTGTCCGTTACTTTTGCAACTCAAAATACTGTAATCATCAAATCTAAGATGCCATCTACTATAAGATGCACCATTATTTTCTATTCCAGTAAGGAAAAACAGCACTGCCAATTATACTTCTATGGTATCATGAAGAGTAAGGAGCTTCCTTGTTCAAAGATATTACAGGTTTTTTTTTTAAATGGGGCCTTAGAAACAGTGAAATACAAAAATATACAAGAATTTTTTTTCATACTCCATCAACTTCAGACACCCTTGACTCATCATGTCAAATGAAGATGTAAGTGGTCCAGATTTTCTCCTTACTGCTCCCTTTCTCCCTCTGAACATTTGACACCTATAGCTTTACTTTTACATTGTTAATAATTATATTGTTTTCCACTTTGATGATTGATTCTAAAGCCAAAACCCAATAACTGACATTTATATTACTATGATTTTATAAGCATTGTTTCCTCCAGAGCCAGGTAGTGTACTAGGATTACATTTCCTTCTTATGGATTCATTTCTCTTTCTATGGACTTCTGTGCTAATAGCCAACCCTCAGTTCAAACTGGCCATGTCATAATTGGAGTCTTTAAATGTTGTTTGTCGAGTCTCAGACTAATTATAAAAAGCAATTAGACTCTGAAAACTAAACATTTCTGATACTGACATGTATAGCCCCTGCTCTTTGACATAACTCTCTTTAATTTCTTGATTTTTCATCTAAACCTGGAGTCAGCAAACTTTTTGTGGTAAAGAGCCAGATAATAGATATCTTAGGCTTTGCAGACTATATGGTCCCTGTTACACGTATTCAGCTCTTCCATTGTGTCACAAAAGTAGCCATGAACAATATGGAAATGAATGGACATGGCTGTGTTCCAATAAAACTTAATTTACAAAAACAGACAATAAACCAGATTTGGCCTTGGATCTTAGATGGCCAACCCTTGATCTAGAAGAATAAATCCTGGCCCTCATATCTTGGGACACTATCAATATTTCAATTTGGAAGGTTTTGAATACTCTAAATTGAAATGACTGTGACATGGGCCACAAAGGACTGAAAAAAACACTTGAAAATCTAAAATTCTTTAGATGTCATTAATGTGGGTCATCTTCCGGCCCAAGGAGGAAACAAGTCTGCTGAAGTTGCACTCTTAGATGTTTCTCCATTCCTTGGGCAAATCAAGTAAGACAGAACAGAGAAACGTCTTTCATCCAACCTCACATTTTCTGGGTCAAAGGTGGCCTTTCAACTCCAAAAATAGAATTCTTCCCAACCTCCACTTCCTGCTGACAAGAAGTGTGAACCCTTGGATTTCTAACTGTGAAAGGATGCAATTCATGGGACTTTTTTTTTCGTAACCACCAAAATGAAATCCTGGGTAATAATGCTTAAAAGGAATCAGTAACAATTGTTGGAATGTTGCCAATGTTTAAGGGTATCAAATGGAAAATTCTACAGCTGTGACCCAGATCAGATTCTAAGAAATAATTCAAACTTTAAAATGAAAAATATAATGCATAATAATACTTTCTTATTCATTCTGTCATTAATTTCCCAGCTCAAATATAATTCTGGGAAACTGAAATTGGTGCTGTCTTTAGAATTATCCACTTGTACATTTGGGAATTTAAACCAGCACATAAGAGCCATCACTCATGTAACCCAAACAGCCATATTTATGATTCATTTTAATATCTAAACCAATACTCACTCACTCATTCGGCCATGATAGTAAAAGTTAGTTTCGAGTTTAAAATAACCTGATACAATAGAATCTTCTTTTTGTTTTCCCTCTTTAAAATATGACTTCTGATTTCATATAGGTTTCCTTTTTTAGACCTAGAAAATAACAGAATTAGAGTCTGTATCCTGGGGCCAGGCGTGGTGGTTCATGCCTGTAATCCCAGCACTTTGGGAGGCTGAGGTGGGTGGATCACTTGGGGTCAGGAGTTCAAGACCAGCCTGGCCAACATGGCCAAACCCTGTCTCTACTAAAAATACAAAGATTAGCCAGGTGTGGTGGTGTGCGCCTGTAATCCCAGCTACTTGGGAGGCTGAGGCGGGAGAATTGCATGAACCTGGGAGGTGGAGGCTGCAGTGAGTTGAGATCATGCCACTGCACTCCATTTTGGACGACAGAGCAAGACTCCATCTCAAAAAAAAAAAAACTCCATCCCCAGAAAAAAGAGTCTGTATTCTGGGAGACCCATAACTCTCTGTCTGCACTCTCCCAGCCTACAACTATGCTCTACCTCTCATGGCTTTGAGTACAAACACTTGCCACAGGAATAGAGTTAAACTTAAAAAAGAAATTTGCCCTTCTCCCTCAAGTTTCTACAGTCTTGTTTCTGCAGGGAAAACACTCTGAGATCCTCAAAGATATCACCTAAATGCTATTGAGTTTTGTATAAGTATTATGTAAGTACAATGCATTGTTTGTCTCTCTTTGCAAAGAGATTGAAACCTTTGTTTCAAAAAGTGTGTGTTTTTAATTATTATTACATGGTTTGCTTTGCAAGTGCTATGTACTAGATCATAAAGTGAAAATTTAATCTGCAATTATACTTAAGTGAGCAAAAGATGCTGCATTTTCAGTTTTATGCTTTAAAACATTTTTGCATAAGCAAAATGGCTTTCCCAAAGTATGGCATTCACTTCTAATGGTTTACAGATCAAACTCCTAATTTCATTAAGACTGAAAAGAACTTCTAATGGAAATAACATACATGCTTGATTTGGTGGGAAACTGCCCTTAAATATAATTTTCTCAGGTCCACACCAAATGTCTTCTGTTACTTTGCAAAAACTGACTTCTCACAACTGGCTACTAGATATATCTGTTTGGACTTAGCTGAATGATTTTCATTTTTCTAGAGAACAAAACTTTTGTGTGTTAACTTTCCATTCTCCACACATAGTTGGGCACACAGATTGACTAAAATGGCACCTGTTGTTCTCTGTTGACTGAAGCACAGCAGCTGGGGGTTTTTAGGATTTATTTAACCATACATTGCTCACTCAATTCTATTTCTTCTTGCGGCCCTCCAGCTGGTCTGACAGGGCCAAAGCATGAGCCCACATCTATGGGGTATAAAGAGAAAAAGGGGGGGATTTCTTCAGTAATGGAAGCACACATCCCAAAAACAAGGAATTAGTATTAGCCCCAGCATTTGTCAGAGAAGCATCAGCAGAAGCTTCCACCACCCTCTTCAGCTGTTTTGTGCTTCACCCTTTGTACCCTTAGGACTCACTGATAAGCCTCTAGATCTCATACCCATGAAGGATTTAAACTTTCCAAATAAAACATTCCTCCTTGAGAAATAGAATATATATGTGCCCTCATTACCTTGCTTAGGGATGTTCTGCTTTTAAAATATATTTTTCCAGCTGGGTGCAGTGGCTCATACCTGTAAACCCAACACTTTATGAAGCCAAGGTGGGACAATCACTTGAGGCCAGGACTTTTAGACCAGCCTGGGCAACATAGCAAGACCTTATCTCTATAAAAATAAAATATTAGGTGGGCATGGTGGCACATGCCTGTAGTTCCAGATACTCAAGAGGATGAGACAGGAGAATCGCTTGAGCCCAGGAATTCAAGGCTGCAGTAATCTATGATCACACCACTGCCCTGCAGCCTAGGTGACAGAGAGAGACCCCCATCTCTAAATTAGTTAATTAATTTTTAAAAAGTAATAAAAGTAATTATTGCACACAGATGGGGAAATGTTGGAAAACTAAAAAAAAAAAAAAAACTACTGTATAAAGAAAAAATTTAAGTCACCTATAATTTTGCCATGCAGAAATTACTACTATCCTATTTAAGTAGCTATGAAATTACGACAGAAAGCAGGTTTCACAAGTTGATTTTCTCATTTAATATACTATGAGTAATTTCCTATTAACGGAAACCTTTATGCAGTCATGTAAAATTTTTTAGTTATTGGCATTTTGATAATTTCCCATTTTTAATTGTAATTTATGCCACAGTGAGCATCCTTATAATAAATATTTGTGGCATTTCAGGTTTTTTTTAGGATAACCTCAAATAGGGTATGGGCAAAGAAGAAAGTGTGTGTTATCCAAGGGAAGAGCAAGTATGAAAGCCAGGAGGGAGCGAACAGCGCAGCACATGGTGGAAGTGTAAACAGTTGAGTGGGGCTACAGCCTAGAGAGCTGGAAGGGACAGGAAGCCTGGGAGCTGGAGAGGTCAGCAGATCACAGAGACACCCAGAGGAGTTTGGTCTTTTTCCTGAGAGAATTGAGGAGCTAAAGGAGGGTTTCAAGCAGGAAATCAGACTTGTGGCTTAGAGACGTGTGCTTTAGTAAGATCATCCTGGTTGCGGCTTGAAGAGTGAATGGCAGGCAGCAGCTGTTAAAATGCTTCAGGTGGGATCTGATGAGTCTGAGTAGTGAAGTGGTAGTAAGGGAGGAAAGAAGAGAAGGTGGGTTTGGAACAGTTTTAGGAGGTAACATCTTCAGGATCTGGTGATGGATCACTGTGGAATGGGAGGGAGGTGACGTCATGGAGAGTCCTCAGGCTTCTGGCTTGGGTGATGGGTAGGCAGTGAACCCAGCTGTCTCCCATCCAAATGCAAATATCTAAGAGGCAGCTGAATATAAGGTTTGGAGTTAAAATGGGCTAGAGGTATAGATTTAGGAGTTACCAGCATATGGAATTACCTGAGTATCAATTTACAAAATAAAGTTTCATTTTGCCATAGATCTAAAAAATATATAGAGAATTAACTGAAGTCCTGCAAATGGAAGAAGAGGGAAGAGGAGACAATAGAAATGGTGAAAGAGTAGGAAGACCAGAATATGCTGTGCCTTGGAAGCCATCTGAGAGAGTATTCTAAAGCCATCACGACCTTATTCAATAGTTGGCAGAAAACCAACTATTAACAGAATTCAATGATTTGGAAAACCCAGGGAAAAAAGATGGGATGATCAAGTCTGGCTTCTTGAAGAGGACTGCTGACATTCATTTTGTAACCACCAAACAAAATAACCTTTTGTAGATGAAGCCAAATAGAGTTGTTTTGCACCTAACAGTGGGAGTGGAGGGCCTCAGCCCTGCTGTGGTAAAATGGGCATATCAGTTTCATGCACTCTTAAGACTTACATAGTTTTTTGTGAGACTATCCACCCAATACTGGCCGCCTTCTACTTTTAATATTCCCCCATTTATGCTTCTTAGATTAATACAAATACCCCACTAAGGGCACCTCTTTTAAGGCCATGGGTCACCATTGTAAGGTTTATTCTCTGTAAGGTTTATTGCCAAGTTTAAAATGAGGAAATTGAGGCCTGCATGAGAACAATTAGACGCCAGTTTATTCGGCTCCCAGGCGAGATTCTATGGTCCTGGGAATGGGGGCCAGAGAAGTCAGGCCTGACTCCTCTCAGGCATGGGGTTATATAGGGAGGGAAGGCACTCTGATTGGCTGTGGAGAAACAGGACGTGGACTTGGCAAGCTGCTATACGTAGGTAGACGAGATTTCCAGCGAGTGGACTGGACGGTGCATGCACTATTGGGCAGGTTTTGGGGGGGCTTCTTTTAAATTTTGGCGGGATTTTCCAATGGCAGAGGTGGGCGTGGTGTAGCTAGATGCTGAGTGCAGATTCTGGTGACGTAATTTTCAGGCATGGAGAGGGATGGGCGTGTCCGAGCTCCTGGCGAGCCAGCCGGCCTTACAACCATGAGACAGACGTTGGCACTACACTGTTTATTCTGC